AATAAAAATTTAAGCTTTACCAAACAGACATGCAACATAGAGAAGTTGTGGGTTGATCTCATCAAATGTACTGTGCTAGGAAAAAATTTAAACAAATTTTTAAAATGTATTGTTGAGTAAATAGCACTTGCTCAAAAACCAACAGGCAAGAATTTGAAGGGGGAGGGGGATCATTATTCTCTATTACAAAATAGAATTCAAAATTGACTACTTCTAAAGATATTCAAGAATCAATAAAATTGAAATGTACAAGATTCTCAGTCCTTTTCATCCTTATTGGTTAAACAAGAACATGCAGCTGTAGTCAATCGGATTTGAACAACTGACTTTCTGGAAGCTTTTCAAATCAGGCAGATGAGTTTACTTAACCACTAGTTGACAGTGAACCATCCATCAGCAACTTTACAATGCATGGCCAGATTGTAGTGTGTTCACACACCATATATGAGCAAGATCTATATTTAGACACTAAAGCCAATCTTGAAAACTAAAAATCTACATATCATGAAAATCAAGTCCACCGAATTCATTAGTACTTATAAAGCCACCTCATCTAACAGCTTAAGTTGTAAAAAAGAACATTCATCTATTTATTTAAATTTAGTTTTCAATGTGCCTCGTCACGACAGCCCAATCATTTTTAACGTAACGTGTGCATAGTTTTTCATAAATATGGGGCGATGTGGTGGTTGAACATGGAATCTGAGCAAGCTGTGGCATCAATAATAGATTTTTGAGTCATTTGTCTTCTCAAATTTTACCTAGGAGGTGGAACTTTGTGCTGCTTACCGCTTTATCTTGCATATAAAAGCTCCTAGCTCCATCTTCCCCATTATTTTCATTTTCATTCTCATTATATCATATTTGCATAAACAATAACTTCCATCTTAGTATAGAGAATTGGTTTTCTTATATAGCAGTGGATGAATACGCATACAAAAGCTCCTACCTTCTGCCTTATTCTTTTTCTAGTTAGTCTACTGAATTTTCATTATATTATATTTGCATATACAATTAACTTCCATCTTAAAAATTGGTACTCTTATCTTGTATAAGAGTAGATGAACCATAGGACAGCAAAAACGAAATATCATTAGTTAGAATACCTTGCATGGTTGAATATGAATTCACTACTCATCAATGTGCCACATTCTGCACCAAATTATTATATGCTCTATGCAGAAAGTCCTCGTATAGGTAGTCATCTACATGCAACCATATCGAGATATAATGCTCAGCATAATGCAGCAACATAAATTCACCTTATGCCTCCATTGTAATTGTCTATACGTCTACTACATTGATTCCTATTATTTAGATCAGTTTCCTTGATTATAAGAATCCAGCATGCTCAATCCTACAACTTTGGACAATTTCAACAGACCTCGTCGGATCCATATAATTCTTGAACTGAAAAAGGGTAGAGAATTATGTCCTAGTGCAAAGAATTATCTCGACAACATAGTGATGTAAAAACTAAACAATATACTAGGCATAAGTTGCAAAACCATCCAAGGCAAGAGGCTGGGCAAAATCCGGGGCCGATAAAAAGATCGCTTTTATCGCGTCTTTACTATCCTGAAGTTGATCCCATGAATAAAGTTCACATGGACGGTAATGGTGCACAGATACAACATGTGGTTCATTTCCTTCACACCAAGTCCAAGCAGACAAATTTGTTCAATGTTTTAATGAAGAATATCTTATAGTGCAGACTGCAGATTTCTACAACCACAACAAATCCATTATAAACTTTGTAGTTTGTATACTACGAAATAGAAAAATATTGGGGGTTAAATTTGTTCAATGTTTTAATGAAGACAAACTTATAGTGCAGACTGCAGATTTCTCTAACCACAACAAATCCATTATACGCTTTGTAGTTTGTATACTAATGTATAGGCTATTATCTTGTAAGAACTCAAGTAAATCAAAATAGCACTAAAAATTAAGGGGAAAAAAATAGTTATAAAAAATGAAAGACAATAATCAATTCTTAAAACATAATAAATGAACAAAATGTCTGCTAAATAATTGATATCTGCCGATATAATTAAACATCTAATTCTACAAGAAACGTGTGACAAAAGATTAAACAAAGCATCCAAAACACAGATTTTAAATAGCAGGTGACAGATCCAATCTAGGTACAAAAATCTCCAGCCAAATTCCCTCATGAAGAGGCAGTTCCACATATATTCTTCTACCAAGAAATCTTACAATTCCTCCTAATAATAGTCAAATAACCACCAAGTAGTATTAAAAGAAGCCAATCTATTACCTTTGTCCTCGGATCCCATTACATCCGACTGGATTTTATTGAATCCAATTACACACGCGCGGCAACTGATGGTGCAGCTGCAGCCGCGGCAGACGCTGCGCCACCTAGGAAGGAAAGAAACCCAGCATTAGCCGGCTCCGAATCGTCCAGGAACAAATCCTCGGGAACGCGGAATGCACCATGTGTACAAACAACGGCCAAGCCGACAAGCAAAGCTGAGATGAGCAGCGATCCAACGCTTGTAAGGAACACCACAACTACAGTAGAAACCACCAAAATCCCCAAAATCTCACGAGGCGAAAATGTGCGTCCCGCGATAACAAGTGGCTGATCCGAAGGACGGAATAAGTAAAGGAAAAGCCACGCGCCAAGTAGCGCAAAGAGGACAAATAACGAAAACGGGTGGGAGAGAAGGGATAATGCAAGTGAAAGGGCGATTAGAGAAATGTAATTGACGCGAAAGTAGGATGAGTTCTTGCGGATGCGGGAGGCGGCTTCGGATAAGGAGTCAGGGCGGGCAAAGGAAGAGCGATCAAGGAGTTCGTACCAGGGACGGCGCTGGGAGAAGCCGTGGCGGATGGTCCCGGATAGGTGGGAGAGGAAGGATCGGAAGGCGTGACTGGATATCGGCGCCGCCGTGGTGTCGGATTGGGAGGTCGAGATCGGCAGCGTCGGCGGAGAGGCCATTTGTATTTTTTTAGAGAGGAAAAAAGTTGGACGCGTTTCAATTCAACGTCCAATTGAGTATTCTTTACGGGATTTTTCGCCCTTATATTATTATTTTACGGGTTAAAAGCCGCAAATTTTTAGGAGCCCTTATATTTTTTGTATTGACGAAATTGGCCCCTACTAAAACGGCACCTGCTCTTTGCTCTTTAGCAGTCAACTCTTTGACTCTTAAAAAATATTGGGAAATACTATTTGTACACCGGGTGGTCCTCTTGCGAATTCGTGGCCCCCCTCACTGGGGGTATCAATCCCGATGTACAAGTAGAATAACCCAAAAACATTTTGCATTTTTCAAAAAAAAGCCATAATCTAGATACATTATTTTTTTATGATCAATTTCTTGATTCAAACTTCCTCGGCAAAACTTAAACTTGTTTCAGTAAACTAGATTCACTCTCAATCATTAACCACTATCCAATATTCGTGCCTACGAAACATGCTTACTCACACAAAAAATTCAATGACTCTAGACTTGAACATGTCGACCTGCTTTTATACTTGTGACCAAAGTGAGTTGGCTTGGGAGCTAACTGTTGTACAAAGGGGTGGTATTCGATTCGTGATGTAAAAATATGTGGACTCTTTTGACATTAAATTAAAATTGAGGGTCAAGTCGATTTCAATTATTGTGCTCACAGCTCACCCTCCATGGACTGCATCCATATTGAATCTTCAGAAAATTTGGAAAAAGCTAGCCCCATATTACAGATGGAAAGTGAATCTAACTAGAAATAAAAGTATACCAAAATGAGCATGCCCATAATTGAACGTAAGGAATCATATAAAAATTATTAATCTATTATCTACTTTCAATTATTGTTTTTATAAAATATAAAAATGTGTTGGAATGAAAAGAACAAATTATAAATTTTCACATGCAGCTGAGCTGATACTCTCTCCAATCTTATCTAATTTATTGTACCAAAAAAGGTCCATAGATAACAAACGGCAAAACTTAATTAGATTGGTTTCTATCATAATTTGCATGGATTTATTAGTTCCTTAAATAGAGAAGATATTTTAATTTTTATTTATTTATTATTTTATTTTATTTTTGGGTTGAGGGGTGGGGTGGGGTGGTTATTTTACCATACAAAATCATTTCCCTCTAAATCCAAATCAACCGACAAACAATAACAAGTTCACACCAATCAGCTACAAATGACCCCAAATTACAGGGAAATAGCTCAATAAGATGAAGAGAATTAAAAAGGGAATGCACTTAGCAAGCTTAATAATCTCCATAAATTCTAATGAAATCCTAATCTGAGACAGTGTTGAAGGTATCAGACCGATTAACTGGCTATTTGTGTTATCTCCATAAATTCTAATGAAATCCAATGCTTCAGGTTAATTTATTTGATACCATGAAATGCCGGCAAGACAGCTACCAAGGGATCTCCATAACCAACAGCTTCTGTAAATGTACAAAGCAAGCAAAAATAAAGTACAATCTAACCAATAAGCATACACATTCAGCAAACTTTAAAAAGTTCGCACAAATAAGTAATAAGCATATAATTCATTCAAGTCATCCTGATGAATAACTCGTGCAATTTGTAATTGTAGCAAGCAGGGAAGAGAGGCGTGAACTGACTCGAAAGTTCATAAGATCACATGGGATTCAAGACGAAAGGCAGAAGACATCAGAGACTTTAAGGACAAGCAGCTTGATATGCTAGAATTGGCATTTGAAACCATACATATTACCAACCATCGAAAAGTTAAAACATACTGCTTAAGATGATGTACATATGATCAAACTGATATTAGTTGTATGCATTAAACTAAACGGAAAGAGAAAAAATGAGGAAAACAAATCAAATACTGAGAAAGAAAATATAAAGATCAATAGTGATTGCATTTCATATGTTCCAACTTCTTCTAATTTTGAATCAAGATTATTTGTTCGCTGGCATATATTCCAATTTCTGACATTACCATAGAAATAGATGAATATCAGAACATGTTTGAAAAGCACCATGAAGCAATTTCTTCAAATAACATAATTCGAACCACTGGGTCTAATGAAGTAGCAAATGACTTTTCCCGGCAGATAGGTCCTTGATTAACCGTTTAATTTTAAAATTTATAAAATGTTTTGTCTAAAGATTAACATTTCTTCCTTGTAGACTGATTTTTGCCAGATAACAATCGAAATAAAAGAAATATATATTTGGCACACCGGGAAATGAATCTAGCTTGAATTAATTTAATAGATACAAGCATTGTGGTTCAGTAAATCTCCTACAATCCTGGTATTCATATATGTAGACGAAGTCTCCTAAATTAAATAATTCTCATTTCTCTTAACCAATCCCGTTTAAAAGTAAATCTCAATAATTTTCAATCAATTCTGAAGATCAAATAACACGTGAATAATAAAAATTTAATCAATAATATATTTTTTTCAAGAATTTGAAGAACTACATAATCTTCTCAATTAAAGGAAATTTTGTGAAAACTCATAATTGTAGAATCAAAAACATGAAACAAGGGAAAAATTCATAAGGGCGTTTTTTTGTATTGACCGGTATTTTCTTCTTTGTAGGGAAATATATTATGAAGTATAACGCGTCGAATCCTGTTCTTATCAAGTTTTTCTAGAGTGGGGTTCATGAAAACAGAATACCCAAAATCTCAAATGATAGCACATTCATAAAAATAAATATTGATGACATCATACCACCATCGTCATAAAGGAGCTTCAAGACTTCTCCAGACACATCTGACTGCTCAGATACAATTTCCAGATCAAGATGAAAGGAGAAAAAAATCATAAGCAGCTCATAATGAAAGCAGAGTTATATTAGAAGAAATTGAAAGTTGAAACAGAGACTCACTCTGACTGGAAGTTCTGTGCCAAACTGATCCAAAAAGCCTACTATTTGTCCCTCTTTGATAACATCACCCTGTGTATAAGCAAAGGTACTTTAAATCACTACGCCAATTTGAGTACCATAACATGAAGAGGTATATTATATTTTAGCAGTGAGCAATTTACAATGCTACCATAAGACACCATTGTTTAAATAGTCAACAAAAACTGATGCATAAAGAAACACCATCCACCTTATTGCTGAAAGATGAAAGTACAGAGGTGAATCATGATCAACTAAAAAAGATGATGTGTGTTTCTTTTGGGGGGCCGGGGGTGGTGTTGGAAGATATTACGAATTTTCACAACTAATACTTGTTTGGTCCCCATTATTTTCAAAATTCATTTTTCTCTCTTATTTTCAATCACACATTCTTCAATAAAATAATATACACGCAAAAGCAAAAAATTTCCTTAATTTTTAACCACATATTCTCCATCAAATCACTATTCCAAAATGCATTTTTGGTAAGAAAATGGGGCTCAAACAGGCAGCTAGAGTAAAAGGAGCCTGAATATTCCTGAACAAAAAATCATTTTCTGAGACAATTGCTCCCAACATTCAGTATTGGCTGTTTTGAGTGCTTGGACATGCTGAATGTTTGAAATAAAGAATGCAGTAATTGGAACAGGCTTCTACAATCTATCAAGGAAAAAGTTGGTCCAAGAAGTGTCATATGCCTCCACCCAAAAAATAAAACAAGAAAGAAAGAAAAACGAGAAGGCAAAATCTCTTGTAAGGCAATACCTCTTTACAAGCAGGAGGTTGCTTCTTTCCTTTCAAAGTCTTGGCCCTTCGGAATGAACCAACCTAAAAAGGGAATTTCAAAAGAGATACTAAAAGCATTTCATCACATATAAATAGCAATAAGAGGACATGCTATTCATACCTGTGGAGATGATACTATAACATAGCCACTTGATCCAGAAGCCTCTAGTGCTGCCAACTTTTTTGCCTTATCCAAAGAAACATTAGTAAATGGGCTAATCTTTTCTGCAGAAGACTCTGGTGGTGATGGTAGAGAAGCAACAGGAGATGATTCATTCATTGGTTTAGTTGGTACAGGTGGTGCAGATGTGGGTGAAACAATTGGTGCAGGAGTTGGTGCGGTTGCAATATTCCTCTTCACATGCATTTGAAAGTCTCCAAACTGTTACAAAGAAACATCCACAAAAACATGAACTTCCAAACAGTACATTGGGATAGTCAGAAAGTGTTTGTGATGTTATCTTGCAATTTCAGAACTATTATTACATCAAGGTTAACAACTCAAGTTGGCACTCAAGTTGGACTTCACGTGGGTAATTTAATGATATGAAGCAACCACCATGTGAAACAATGACCATAACCTTGTCATTTTTTTGTGGATCACCCCCAAACAAACTAATGTACAGAATTTTGATGCTTGTTTTGATACGTCAAATAAAGCCGTAATACGGATGAACCTACGTGGCGACAATCAATAATTGCAAGGCAGTGAGAATTGACAACTGCATTATTACGAAGTGTAGCTGACCAATATGTTGATAATAAACATTTTTAGACAACTCATGCACACTGTTTTGTTTCTTCATTTATGATTAAACTCACTTGACTAATCTTTAAAAAGTCTTCCAGATATATGGTTCACTGATAAAAAATTTATCCCTCTTTCTCTACTTCCTGACAAGTTCACCAACATAAATTTTGGATTCTTTATAATGCAGGTAAGACAAGCACTATAGATTAGAATCATAATGACAACAAAGTGCAGGTTCCCGATAAATTTGAGGTTGGTTACGTGAAACCTTTTTCACCATTCAATGTGGTTTATCACTATCAACTAGAAGATCCAATTCAACTTAATCCTTCACAATCATAACAGGCCAAGTTAAGTTTGGGCAATCTATACCTCTTCTATCATGTTCAACTTAAATTCTATCACTCAAGTTTGTTTGGCACAATACAAGCCCCAATTACCTAAATCGTCTCTCTTAGTTTGTCCTCAAACGTTTCAAATCAACTTGTTGGCATATGCTCTAAGGTTCAACATTTCCTGAATGACCAAACAATACACATTCACATAAATGCAAACAAATTGCTAAGCTTTTGATGGAGAAATAGATTCACCTTAACTTTCAGCTCTGCGACTTTTGTCTCCTCACAGACTTCTGTGAGCAGTGCCTGACATATATCAAACAAGGGTGCTTGTCATGTTTCAATGAACAATAAAAGAATATATCACCCTTATCGCTAGTACTAGGACATTCAAAATTAGAGCCCAAGGAAGGGTATTTACAACTATGAAATTTCCACAAACCAATGTTTTTTCTTGTGTGCATAAATTCAGGCATAATGACAACTACGTAAAGAGAGATCAATAAAGAAACACATTTTTGTGGAGCCATAATACCAAAAAGTAAATGAACTTCTCAATAATGAAAGTTGATGCAACATCGCCATGGAATGCAAATAGGTGTGGCTACTTTTCAAATAAACATACTCTTATTTTGACAGATTAAAAATCATCCTCATATGATTATCATAGAAACACCAGAACTCAAAGGGAAAATAGTATATTGTGGGTATAAAATAACTTTCATAAATTCTCTGCTTGACTGAATTTTGTGCTTTAACTCGTGGTATTCCAAAACACTTCAAATTCAATGAATAAAATTCCTAGAAGTATCAATATTATATTCTTGCCTTGACCAATAAAAAAATTAATTTGATTGTTCATATGAGATGCAATTTTATCTAGTTCCAAGTGAAAATTCGTAACCCTTCCATACTTCAACTCCAAAACCATATCGTCTAAAACACCAAAACATCATTTTCTGAACTTTTTCCCAAAAATCTTGGCAGATAGAAAATTTATGCCCACTTAACGTTTTCGTTATTAATACTTAGAAATCCAAGTTAAGAGATTCAAAAGAAAATACTAGTATTTCAACCATATCTATAGAAGCAACGTCTTCAACAGTTGAAATATATATCTACTTGGAGAACACTGCTGGAGATTGGAGAAAAAAATTATCAAGAGACTAGTTGCTTCTTTTAGAATTATAAAGATGATGCAAAAAAAAATAAATAAATAAAACACACACATCAGGTTGATAAAAGGTAAATGGAAAATATATATATCCAAAAAGACACCTCAAAACCCTTGGGGAATGTTGCTTGCAACGGATTCTTCTCCACAAATCCATTTTGATGACTATCTGACAAAATAGCTCCATTAGGATCACCTGAATTTGCATAATATAATAAGAAAAGCTAAACTTCTGTTTACAGTCACATAACAACAGTAAAAGCAAGACCATTAAGGCGGATATTTCTTATCCCAGATTATCAACACAGAAAATCAACAACTCACCACTGGATGTTGATGTCACAGTGCTTTCAGAGGCCTTCACACATGTTACAAGTATTGCGCCCCGTTTATTTGTAAATGATATGTACTTTCCACCATAGAAAGGCAATTTATTTTGGTTCGAAAGGGCTGCATTATTCATGGTAACTGTGCCAGGTCGTTCAAGTACAGATTTCAGATAAGAACTTGTGCTGACAGAATCTGAAAGACAACAATAGTCATCAAGCTTCACCTTTTGTATAAAGTTGAGTAGTTTTTACACAAGGATAATTAAAGTTTATGCAAGATCAGAACTGATACACTTTTAGTTTCGACCAATTTATAGAACCACATTATGTACCGGTTATCATCATTGATGGGACAATTTTGTCCATTCAGGTTACCTTGACACTGATTCATTCATGCAAAGCTGTGCAAATACATATTAGTACATGTATCAAACCTTTAGTTATTTGATATGTCGTACAGTCCAGTAGATTATTAATTATGAACTAAGGTTTGTCTTCTCTTAAAATCAATAAATGTTCCTTTAAAATGCCACTTTGAGTATTATTCTATGAGAAATCTGCATAAAACATGTTTGGAGCATCCTAACACAAGCTAATTTTTGTTCTGAACAAGATGTCCCCATATTGATGACCTAGGTACACTATTTTTGACAAAACACTATGATCTAAATTTTAGCAATTTCCATGTCCCACCAAAATCTGTAGTTGTGTCCAACGTCAAAGGATTGTGTAATGTGGCATTCCACATCATTAAGGGACTGTGTGACAGGTTTATAAGGACTTGGGTAACTGATACATATTAACATGAGCTAAAATATATTGTGCCAGTTGGTTAGTGCCAACTATGTTGGCAGGGCCAAGGGTATGACTTTGTCCTCACATGTAGTGCCTGACCTTCATGGTGCAACTCACGTAGTGAGCCTGGACTTGTGAGAAGGGCCATAAACTGTGTATTGGCTGCAACAAGGATGTCACATATTTTAGTGGGAAGTTTATAACATTCAGTTCCATATCAATTTTGGATGATTGTGCGATTAATTTATAGTTGGGTATCATTTTGTACCAATTCATTTGTGTCGATAATGTCACTAGAGCCACAGATCTAACCAAGGTACTTACAAGTTAAATTAACTAGACAACTTACAATTGAAGAAATATAAGAACCTAGAGACCAATTAAATGAATATAAAGTAAGACCTTAATGAAAAAGATCTCAAAGTATCTAGCTGCATGATATAATGCATAGACTCATGTTAATTGTTGTTTCTTTTCTTTAAAGAAAATGTGACTCTCAAAAATCCTTTTAAGTTAGAAATTCAGGATTTGCAGGGAAATAAGGAAACTAAGGCTGTTAAATGATAGAAAATTCCAAAAAAATTGTGACTTAAACATGAAGATGAAGGTAAATGTCTAAACATTGGGTTCAGTTTCAAACTTTCAAATTCTGATGTGGACATGGAAAAGAAAAGATTACTTTTTCTTTAACTATTTCATGATTAAATGAGTATATTATAATATTAAAGGTTCAAATTCATACTCAAATCTATTTGAAATAGTTATTCAACAAGTTGAACTTCCTAAATTTATTGAAAATAAGATTTACCTTCTTGTTGTTGTAGTATTTTAGAAATAACTTACATATTCGAATGCATTCAAAATTTATCATCATTTCAAAATAATAGTGCCTCGTATTTTTATTCTAGTGTCAAATGTTCTACTAAGGTGCTCCATGTATTTTGAAGAGTTGGAGTAACATAGTCTATAAATTAACCTGAAAGTGACTTTGAAGTCACTTACGAAAATATTAAAAACCAAAGGTTTTGTAAATATGCTTGCGGGTAAAAGTTTGGTAAACCTTTAAATTAAGTAATCAAGAACATGGACTAAGGCAAAAATGTAGAGATGTTTATGTTATTCATTCCAGAGTTAAAATTTATCTTGAATAGTTCACAAAAATTAGTCACAAAATAAGAACACAAATGACTAATTTTTGTGTGAACTTAACCCTGACTGATTTGTATACTCTTAATTAGTTAGTCTATATTCATCTGAATCACCTCGCTTTGCAGATCAAAATCCCAAAGTTATCAGGTCAGACTAATTAAGGAATCTACACCATTTACAACCCCGTAATTATCATTTTCAGATTTATTTCCTTCAGTTTGCATCTAACTGAATCCAGAATACGACAAAAATACCAAAAGAAATTTCAAATTACTCGCATGACTGATGAGCTACATGATAGAATCAGAACTACATAGCACATTCCATCTTATTTTTCAATTTCCAGACTATTATGTAGCCAATAAATGTCATCAAAACAAACGACAATCATAGTATAGTAAAAATAAAACGTAAAGCTTATTAGATAACAATATTACTGTCTAAAGACATAAATCATAAATGCAAAGCTGAGATTCGAAGTAATAAATATATAATAAAATGCGTATAGAGAGAGAGGACTAACAATGGAAGGAGCGGAGAACGGCGGCGGACTCCATCGGAGATTTAAATTCCAATTGTATCGAAGATATGAAATGTGATGAAGAGCAATGAGAGTTTTCGAAAGGAAATTTATCGATTTATAGCTGAGAGAAACAAATAAACGTGAGTGAGTTGGGTGTCTGTTAGTTCGCGCATTGATATATCCGCCCCTTCCCTCAGTTTCTTCACCCACCCCCTCACCATTTTCTTTGCACAATTATTTAATTATCCCATTTATAATTTTTTTCGAAAAAAAAAAAATGTTTCTTACATATATGTTGGTAATTTATTCAAGTTCAACCTTTTAAAATAGCACTTTGTAATTATCAAAGTGAAAAATGTTAAATTTAATTTGTTTCCTTATTTAAAATTAGTACCACTTCACACGTGAATAATCATATCCTAACATTTATCAATAAAAGCACAAGTTTCTCGAATAATTCAAATAAAAAATAATTGATTGTCCAACTATCAATACAGAGTCATTAACGACAAGCTCATAAGAAGCAATCCCATTTTTTCACTGAGTTCAAGTGAAAATCAAAGAACTGGAAGGATCGATCCAATAGAATAACCAATGTAAGAGACTATTTCCATAAATTGATTGCAAATCCAACCTTTAGCCCCAGTTTGATGCCGATTAAAAAGAGTTTTTCGGGAAAAAAATATTTTTTTTTTTGAAATAATGATATTTTGGAGAATATATGGTTAAAAAATAAAATTTTTTTTGTTTTTATATGCAAAATATTATATTATAAGAATCTATTGTTAAAAATGAAGAAAAAAATGTTTTCGAAAAATGGTAGACAAATTAACAACTCCAACTCCATACTTTTGTTGGGAATTGGTTTAATAAATTGAAAATTTGATCAAGTGTCAAAATCAAAAATTTAGAAAAGTGACTTTCGTGTCAATTTTGGCTAAATATTCGGACTTGAATCGATGGTCAAATTACAAAAGTAAATAGACCAACTTGTTCTACTCGTCGAGTAGAACGTCATGGTATATTTAGAATCTCAAAATCAATTCTAGATGAATGAGAAATTGCAGTCCAAAATTGAGAAGAAAATAGAGGAAACTGTCGGAAATTTACCTAAGTGTGTTGCTAGCCTAATGCTACACTGTCGCACGAGCAACAGGCTAGTGACGAAGTCACTATTTTTACCTTTCGAGCGAGGCAATTGCGACAGGCTAGTGATATTGAATGGTGCGACTTTTGACAAGAGTTGCTAAGTTTGGAATGAGGTACTTCATTCACAGCCCATCATCCTCTATATATATGACTCATTGGACATCCATTAGACATCTCATACCATATTTGCATTGAGCATTACATAAAAACTTTTGCAAATCACTTTCAAATTCATTCAAAATCATTTTCTTCTTTATAGAGAGAAACTTCGTCGAAAGTTTATCGTAACTTGTGGTTTGAAGTGCTTCTACAAGTTGAATCAATTGCATCTTGGGAGAAAAGTGTTGTGAACCATGAGCACCGTTGCGGGGCAATTTCGTTTTAAGAAAAGAGTGAAAATTACTTGTATCGGATTGTTCTTCTTCTTCTTCCCTTCTTGGTTTTAATTTTTTGGTTTTGTTTGTAGTTTACATACTATATTTTCACCCATATTAATAGTGTTTAATCTTGATCCTGCGAATTATGCTTTGTTTTTGTTCGTTCGATATGCAACAACCCTTTCATCCGCACTTATATTTAACCCGCGTAGCCAACATTCTAAAGACAAGAATTTTGTATCTGTGATTATTGTTAATCTTTTCTCTTCATATTTTGGAATACACATTCGTTTGATATTCCCTTCTTTTGGTTTATTTGCATTAAAATTTTGTTTGTGTAACAGAATTGGCTACCATTAAGGCTACTTCGAGTTAAAATGATTCAAACAATGTGGTACCACCATTGGCTATACCATTTCAAAATACTACAATCCCACATGAGGAAAAATAGAAAAAGTTTGGAAGTGTGAACTTCAAGAGATGGAAATAAAAAATGTTCTATCTTACCACTCTAAACTTGACAAAGTTTCTGAAGGAAACTGTACCGGCAGTACAAGAATGGGACAATAATCATGAATCTATTATTGCTTTGGATGTGTGAAAGCACTTGGACTTTCTATGCAAAAAACTATATCTTGAACGGATTGGACAATACACAATATGGAGTATATAGTTTGAAGAACTCGGCCAAGAACTGTAGGATTCTTTGGAGAAGAAATACAATACCGAGGACACCGGAACTAAGAAGTTCATAGTCGTAAATTTTTGGAATACAAAATGGTGGATTCCAAAATGGTGATTAGTCAAGTCCAAGAACTTTAAGTTCTACTACATGACATTCATACCGAGAAGATGGAATTGAGTGAATCTTTCCAAATTGCTGTCATCATCGAAAAGATCCATCCTATGTGGAGAGATTTCAGAAACTACTTCAAGCATAGATGCAAGGAAATGAACTTGGAAGGATTGATTGTCCGCTTGAGGATCGGAGAAGACAATAGGAAATATAATAGAAGGCCTATTGTCCAACTTGTTAATAAACTTTGTTGAAACCAACTCGAAGGTTGTCAACAAGAAGCGAAAGTTCTCCGATGAGGCATCGTGAAGAGATAACTCCAAGAAGGCCAAAAAGTTGAAATGGAACTTCTACAATTGTGGAAAGACCGGACATCGCTCAAGCGAATGTCGAAAACCAAAGAAGAATGCACATGCTAACATAGTTGAAAAAGATGCCATTTCTAAAGGGATGCAAGAGATAAATTTATTTGCAGTTGTTTCCGAGTGCAACCACGTTGGAAACTCAAGGGAATGGTCGGTTAACATTGGTGTTACCCATCATGTGTGTGCAGATAAGGCTATGTTCTCCAATATCGAAAATTGGATGGAGAACAACTCTTCATGGGAAACTCTACAAGTTTCAAAGTTGAATGACAAGGCAAGATCACTTTGAAAATAACATCCAACAAAGAATTCATCCTCAACAATGTTCTATATGTGCCAGACATACAAAAGAATCTAGTGTCCGGATCTCTACTTAGTAAAAATGATTTTAAACTTGTATTTGTATCCGATAAATTTGTATTCATTAAGAATGAGATGTATGTAGGAAATGGATATATGTGTGATCAAATGTTCAAAATGAATGTTCTTACTGTTGTACCAAGGCAAAGCATTATGAATAAAACTTTAAATTCCGTTTATATACTTAAGTTGTCTTGTTTGTGGCACATTCAATTAGGACATGTGAGTTATAAATCTTTGCACAAACTTATGAATCAAAGTTTAATTCCGACACTTAAAATCGATCCTAATCATAAATATGAAGTGTGTGTTGAAGCAAAATTGGCTAAAATACTGTTCCACTCGTTTCAAAGGAACACTACACCTTTAGATCTACTACATAGCAACTTTTGTGATTTGAAATATGTTCAAACTAAAGGTGGTAAGAAATACTTTGTTACTTTCATTGATAATTGTACAAAATATTGTTATGTCTTTCTTTTAAGAAGTAAAGACAAGGCGTTGAATGCCTTTAAGCATTATAAGGTGGAAGTTTAAACTTGGTTTGATAAATGAATAAAGAATATTTGTAGTGATAAAGGAGGTGAATACGCGGCAACGTTTGAAGAATTATGTTCCGAACATGGAATTATTCATCAAACAATGGCACCATATTATCCTCAATCTATTGGTGTTGCTGAAACACAAAAATCGAACTTTTAAGGAAATGATGAACGCCATGTTGTTGAGTTTGGGGTTGCCTTAAAACATGTGGGGGGAAGCTCGGCAAATAGTATTCTTAATAGGATATCCCTTAAAAAAATGGAAAATGCTCCATATAAATTATGGAAAGGTCATCCCCCTTCCTACCAACATTTGATATTGTGGGGATGTTTAGCTAAGGTTGAAATCCCTAAGCCTAAGCAAGTAGAGATTGGTCCCAAAATGATCGATTCCATATTTATTGAATACGCCAATAATATTAGTGCATATCGATTCCTTGTACACAAATTTGAAATTCATGATGTACATGAGGAAACCATAATTGAATCGATAAATGCGTTATTTTTCGAGAATATGTTTCCTTTTAAGGAAAAGGAAAGTGCAAGTTCAAATAAGAAAACTTATGATACGACAAATGATACATTAAATGCGGAAGAACCAAGGCGTAGTAAAAGGACAAGAATATCAACTTCGTTTGGCCCAGATTTTCTAACATATATGGTAGAAAATGATCTAAAGACATTCGATGAAGCCATGTCTTCATCGAAAACAGTGCATTGGAAAGAACCTATCAATAGTGAGATGGATTCGATAATGCAAAACCATAGTTGAGAATTTGTTGATTTACCCCCCGGAAATAAGCCTTTAAGGTGTAAATTGATTTTTAAGAAAAAACTTAAATCGGATGACTCATTGATAAATGTAAGGTTAGATTGGTTGTTAAAGGATATACGCAAAACGAAAGACTTGACTTCTTTGATACCTACTTACTCATAACTAGAATAACTTTGATAAGGTTGTTAATTGCGATTGCAGTAATACACAACCTTGAGATTCATCAAATGGATGTGAAAATGACATTCCTTAATGGTGAGTTAGAAGAGGAGATATACATGGAACAACAGAAGAGTTCGTCTCTCCTAATAACAAACACAAGGTTTGTAAACTTGTTAAGTCATTGTATGGATTGAAACAAGCTCCTAAATAATGACACCAAAAATTTGACAAATGGATTCAAGATAAACGAATGTGATAAGTGTGTATATATAAAACATACACCAAATGCTCATGTGATTGTGTGTCTATATCTAGACAACATGTTGATAATGACAAATACTCACGAACTAATTCTAAACACCAAGAGAATGCTAACGAAACATTTTGATATAAAAGATATGGGTGTTGCTAATGTGATACTATGGATTAAGATCTCTAGAACACTGAAAGCAATCGTACTTTTCCGATCTCATTATATTGAGAGTGTACTAAAAAAGTATAATATACT